ACCTATTTGAAATCAATTTTTTTATTTTAACCAAAACGTGATTTCAAACCAGTTTTGACAAACCAAATATGGGAAATGATTTGAAAATCATTGTGACTTGCAAATCTTTACAAATTAGGGTTCCAACGTAGAGTTAATCTTTTTTTTTTTTTTTGAACGAATTGATCCAAAATTTTGGGCATGCTAGCAAAAGGTTAGAAAACCAAAGTTAGTTCACATTTTGTTTAGGAATTTTCTTGTTAAAAAAAACTTTTTTTCTTTAAAATATTTTATTCCAAAATTTTTTTGGAAAACACAATATTAAAACTTTTATTATAATTTCAATCGCTTTTTCCATTGTGGTTGGTTTTTATTTCATTTTATCTTATTCCCATTTACGGTTAGCAAATAAGGAATAGGACAAACATTGTTTTCACCACCATTAAATAAGAAAAAAAATGCAAAAATAGAGACTTCTCATGAATTTGTGAGGAGTAGTCTTTTACCCATTCGAAAACCGTTTATTTTCTCTTTTTTTACTTAGCAAATTGCCTCATAAGTAAATAAAAGAAGTGATTTGCATAAATGACCAAACAAGCCTAATTATTTGTAAATAAAAAATAACATTTTACATGGGTATATATTGCAAAAGAAGAACCCAACCAATATCCACCCATAAAAAAAGACAAAAATAGCCCTGAAACCATGGTTCAAAATTTCGTTCAACATGTCGACGGTCTCGATATCGACATTAGGGGAGAAAGTTGTTTTTCTCCTAATGTCGTCGACATGTCAAGGAAATGTCGATTTTTTTTTTCATTTTTTTTTGCAATGAAGGTTCCAGGCAGTAAAGCTCACGTTGTCGACACCTCTTGTCCGTCGTGAGTGATTTCTCGTATGTGTAAAGACGGGTAGACCGTCTCATCTCTTTCCTCAAAGTGGTGGATCRAACTTCGATCATGTCACGAGAGTGGATTCAGTTGGTTTCATCGGTCATTCTGCGAACCTGACARCTATCACTTACTAGTCAATGAAAGTGGGGTCAGTTTCAGTCTTCTTCGGAGCTTTCAAGTCAAAGAGTGTCATGTAATTGCTGAGAAAATCTGGATCCATGTGGCCTTAATTGAGACTTAGAGTAAGATATGTTGTTTTTCAAGAAAAAATCTAGATCGAAAATTTTGAATCCAAATCTTAAGAAAAGAAGATTTCTGTTCAAACATTTTTTTCAAATTTCTGTAAATTCAAAGCTTGTGGGAGAGCAACAAAAAAAAGTCAAAAATAATAATAAAAGATTATACGATATTGGGCATTTTTTATTTTTCTTTTAGAGAAATTAAAGTAACATTCTTATCCTTCTGGTTAAAAAAAACAAACATTAAATTAACTTAACTATAAAAATCTAACATAATCTTAAAGTAATTGATTTAAAAGAAAAACAAATTTTAAATTAAATTTAACTAACCAAATTTTAAAACAAACAAATAAAAAAATCAATTTAACTAATTATTATTAAACATTTAAATTTTTGAAAAGTTAAATTCTTATATTTGGGTAAAAAAAAGAAAAAACTAAACAAAACCTTACAGAAATAGATAATGGATTTAAAAAAACCAAATTTAAATTAAATTTAACTAAAAAAAATATAACAAAATGTTAAAGTAATTGATTTAAAAGAAAAAACAAATTTTAAATTAAATTTAATCAACTCAATCTTAAAACAAACAAATAAAAGAAAATTAATTTAACTAATTATTATTATTATTAAACATTTAAATTTTAAACTAAATCTAATTTTTTAAAAATTATTTCATACTTTATATTTTTCGTTCAATTATGCAACTAGACTGGATTAGAAATTATCAATAAAAAATTAACATTAAACTTTAATTTACTAAATCAAATAATTTTCATATATGTATACATGATTTCGTTTTGACATTAATCACGACAACATTTACATAAGTATATTACTAATATAATTAGATATGATGGTTAAAAAGTGATTAGTATAGGCTAATTAAGCTACAATCTTATTTACTAATTTAAAAAACTAGTTTAGTACCACGTGCATGGCACGTAATAAAAATTTTAATTTTATTCATTACAAAATAAATTATTTAATTAAATTAGTATGTGTTTCAAATTATAAAAATATTAAAATTTTGTTAAATTTATTTTAATTTTAATAATTAGTATAATGGCAAAAATATAAGATTAAACATAATTATTATTAATAAAATAAGTTAAAAATAAAAATGATAAACAAGATATTTAAATATAAAATATGAATCAAATCATATTAATAATTACGATATCTTATTAGATTTTAAATTAATTTATGTATTATAATTGGTCTATGTTTTATATTTTGTATATCATTTGCATCTTTTAACTATTTTCCTATTTATTATAATTAAGATGTATAGATTTAAATTTCTTAATTTTATTAACATACCATTTTAAAATTGTTTTGAAAATAAATTCAACACACAAATTTAGGGTGGAAGAAAATGAAAAAATTATAACAATGTTTGCATTCCAAAACTATCATATTCTATAATTAAATATACGTATATACAAATATTTAATTAAAGTTAATTTATACACGTTAACTTTTTACATTATAACTTTTCACATTTTTTTTAAAAAAATATTTTCATATTCTATTAATTTAATTTCTTCAAGTGTATATAAATTGCATTATCTTGTACAACATTTTTAATGAAGTCTATGTTGCATTTTATTATTTCTAATATAACAATTTAAAATATTATATAATTTTTTTTATATTTTCATTTTGAAAAGATTATTTTACCTAATTTAGGCTCCTTATTTTTTTTAATTCCCTTGTTTGTTCGAGTTAAACTTATAAAGATTTTTTAATCTAATTTTTTTTTATGTTATAATCATTTTCGACCTCGATAAAGAAAAATTATTTTGCTGTTTTGATTTTATATTGTAATTATATTTATTATTTGAAAATTCTTTTAACTTTAAGGTGAATGAAATGGAAAAAAAAACGTGTATTCCAATTTTTAAAGATGATTATTATTGAGAATGGATGAATTAGTGAATTTATTATTTATAATTAATTAAAAACTTTGTAAGGACGTGATTTTGTTTTTCAAAAGAAAAAAAGATACTTAGTGATTATGATGAATAAATTATTATTTTTTCACCAAACATCTTAAATAAAAAAATACATTAATTATAAAAGAAAAAGAAAAAAAACCAAAGTAACAAAAAAAAAACATCTAATACCCTATCTATGGATCCAACAAACTTCAAGGGAGGGGAAGTACGCCCATTACTGGATACTGGTAATTTAAGGTGATCCAGCAAACTTCAAGGAAGGGGAACTACACCCATTTTGTGTCTCTTTAGAGGAGATATAATGTCTTAGACTGTAAACACTTTTACAAGGTATAACTCTATATACAGGGTAGTGGCAAAAAAGAAATCTCATCTGATATATTCAGAAGTCGTTCTTCAGCTGCATGTTACTGTGTGCATAGCCTTACTAGTGACCTCTCATAGTTGTTGGTGTTGTATATAGGGGGCTGTTCCTATAAGGTAATCCAGCAAACTTCAAGGAAGGGGAACTCATCCCTTAAAATAAAATTGCTCACTTGATAATTGATTGACTAATATTATTATTCAATGGGGTAGAAATTTAGATCATTTGCGTTGCACGAAATCAATCAAATACCGCTAAAACAAAAGAAAAATAATCAACAAAAACAAAGGAAATTCTATATAAAAAAACCGAGATTTCTAACGTGAATGGTCGCAGGACTTTGGTCGCAGGACTTCGGTCGCTAGCTCGCCTATCATTAGATCACCAATTTTCTTGACGGTATGCCTATAGGAATCTTTGATACTTTCAACTTCATGATTGTACTGTAGAATCATCATTGCAGAGACGAAAAGTAATGGCTCCAACAAAAAATACTTCTATCACAATATGGAATTGTAACGACACACAACCTAGGATTCAAGATATAGATCCAACACGTGCTTCCCTTGCAACTTGAATATGTCACCAACGTCTTGAGATGTCTTTCAAGATTGAAGAATTCTTTGAGAGCACTGGTAAGAACGAATGGAGCTCCAAGTGTTTGTGAACAAAATGGTGAAATAAAACTTAATTTATATATGTAATAGATGATTAAAAGTTACAAAACTTTAGAAATTCCATCATGAATTGTAATTAAAGAAACTTTTGAGAAAAAACCTTTTGCATTCCAATCTTTTATATTCCATATATTTAGTATATTGATAATTTATTATTAACAAATTAATTTTTTTTTTGAGAAAAAACAAATTAATTTACTATAAATTATAATAGTTAGCTTAACTTATATTATAAATAAAAAATTATTTTATTTTATTATTAAATTGTGGTTAGCAAACTTCTCCCATCCTCAAATAAATGCTCCTTTTAATATAAATTAAAATTTATTTGATTTTAAACATTAAAATTAATTTGAATTATTGGTTTGTAATTTAACAAAAATTAAAGAGATATAATAGTCCTAAAATGTTTGTTAGAGATAATACATTTTTCATATAATTATAGATTTGCATCAATATCCACAATGTCTGTATTTATTTTTCCGAAATATCCATCGACATCGACATGTCTATTGACATATCCGTAAACTCTAGACCTCATATTTTCATCGACATCAACATTTTGAACCTTACTTGAAAGTCATGATAGTTTTTTCTTCTCAAACTATCTCAACTCAATCATTTATTTACGTATATCATTGATCTACAAGGTAAAACAAAATCACCCAAAAATATCTAAATAGTAAAGTAAAAAAAAAATTACTATAAATCCAACATCTGACTACATTTACAAATATCAAATCAGCTCAAATGGTTAAAACACCCATCTTGGACCAAATTAGCAAGTTTTTTTAGACGAAAATACTTATTATCATGATCAATCAAACTACAGCTAAATAATTAATCATAAAGTGAAAAAGGAAAAAACTTGAGCTAAATAAACAAACGAATAAATTGTTATGAAAAGGGAAAAAGAAAGCTTTGGAATATGGAAACCGTGGGGAGCGGATCTTACGGCAGAGAAGAGAAGTGAAAAGAGAAGCAAAAGGGAAAAAAAGATAGAATTCTGGAAGAAGTTTGTATGTTTGATTTGGTTAGAAGACAGTTAAGAGAGGGAGAGAGAATGCGGGGGAATTACGAATTAGGAGCAAAAAGAAGAAAAAAAAAAAAACTGTCCCAATTGGCCAAATAAAGAAATTGGCCAAAAAAAGGGGGCGTGGGATTAGGGGAGAAGCGGAATCGGAGTTTCATAGATAAAGGGTCGGGGGAGGTGGGATTTTTGGGCACTGCATTGGGGTTGAGGAATTTCTTCTTCTTTTATACTGGTCAAAGGGGAGCGGGAGGGCTCTCTTTCTGAATTTTGCCGGTGACCCAACTGGTTTCTCTCGCGCTCCCATTCTCCTGTTCGTCTCCCTGAATGCCTTAACCAGTGTTCAGGGTAATTTCTCTCGATCTTGGCTCTTCCATTGTGATTTTGCTTTCGATTTCCATTCTTGGTTTCTGTATGTTTCTTGGGTCATCACTGCATTTTATGTTTGCTTCCTGGGAAATTATTGAACATTGTGTTTATTGTGTTTGGTTACCTGGAAAATGTTGTATGATCGAGGGATGATTCCCTGGAAATGATGGAGTGTAGATTTTGGGAGTTGCATTATGATTTCGCTTTCATCTTTTCATTTCTGTATCTTTGTTGCGTTCCTAGATGGGGAAATAGTTTATTTTCTGTTTGGTTCCCGGGAAAATGTGAATGGGCCCCACGAATGATTAAACGTAGTTTCCCTTTTTGCATGTTAATTTCTGTATCTTTAGTGGGTTCTTGGATGACAGAACGGATTATTTTCTGTTTGGTTCCCGGGAAAATGTGAATGTACCCCACGAATGATTAAACGTAGTTTCCCTTTTACATATTCATTTCTGTATCTTTAGTGGGTTCTTCGATGACAGAACAGTTTATTTTCTGTTTGGTTCTCGGGAAAATGTGTATGGGGATGATACCAGGAAATGTAAATGTAGACTTTGGGTGTCGTTCATCTTTTCATCTCTGTATCTTTGACTCTTTGTTGGCTTCCTAGTAGGGAGAACAGTTTATTTTCTATTTGGTTACCTGGAAAATGTGCATCAATGCTTATAAGATGATGAAAATCCCAAGAGTAGTGGAAGAAGGCAGTCTTAGAGTTAGATTGGGGATTCTCTCTTCACATTTTCTTGATTTTTTCGAGTATTTATGACATTGACTGATGATTGGTATGCATCCCATAATGATTTCTGAAAAGAATGGGGTATGAAATCTGAGTATTGTATCTAAATTTGCTTGAGATGATGATGCATCTTTGTTTTTGTTTTTGCAGAACATTCTCGCGATTTAGTCGCAAAGGGGCGAGGGATTAATAGGTTCGTTATAAGATCTTTTACTTGACTCCCATTTCATGATTGTTCAAAATTTCTTTTCATTTGATTCCTATCTTTTCTTCTGCAGGTTGTGATGGATTCCAGAAAAATGGGTGGAAGTCGGCTTGCACTTGTAAATCATGCATAAACTGAAGATACAAAGCTGCATCTGATAATTTTGAAACTTACTCTGTCTGACCTTAATGGGTAAGAACATTTTATAAATTCCTACCTTATTGGATCTTCAATTTTCCTTACTTGTTTTTGCTATTTTTTCTTAATGGAATATATATTAATTTGTGGATTTGTCAAATTATTCAAAGGTAGTAAATCATAGCATCTTTTGTGGATAATTCCTGCTGCAGATGTCCAATTTCTGAGGATTAAGGATCTGCAAATGTTGGTTGTTGTTTAAGCGTTTTTCGATTCATGGATATTGAGATATATTTCTTTAGATGTATCCTGATGGTCATTTGATTGCATCAAAGTAGTACTCGTAGAATTTATCGGAAAATGGTATGGATAGCATGGTTATGAGAATTGGTAATTGGGAAAAAAGTACTGTAGGAATGTTTTTATAACTTTAGTGCATGTAAGATACAATATCATTACCTTGTTGTCTCTCGGAGCTGGCTTCGGGGTGACAAAGCTTCCTCTGTATTAGGCGATGTTCCATGAGCATAATGCAAGGAGTGGAGCTACTAACACTCCAGTTGTAAAAACAATAGATACGTACTATTACCTACTAGCATCAACGATTTCCTCAAAGTATATCATCGGGTGGTTATATGTGGGAGATTCTACTCTTCTGCACAAATTCTTGATTTTTCTTTGATTCCTATCATTAGAAATGGGACTGATTTGAAAATTATCGGTTTCGATTGTGTGAGTGATGTTTTCAGGGAAGACATATCTTCAGGGAAAACCTTGATAATTTTTCTTTCATTGTGGCATGCAACTGTACTTAGCTGCATGAAATATTACACAATGGCCGTAGTAGTTGATCAGCATCGTGAATTTAAGCCATTTTGCCGGTCTCTGAGATGTAGGCTTCAATCTTATACCCATCTCGAGTACAGCAATTGCGAAATCGACCAAAATGATCTTGTCAACTCCTTGAGAGAAGCATTTGAAGTTGCTAGTATACATCGAAGCTTTTCAACACCATGCCTGTCCTTGGTAGAAGAAGTTGACAACAAACCGAGAATTAAAATTGTGGTTGGCGATGGTTCCACAAGGCTACATGGTGTCATAGTAGAGGCTGCAAAGGCTTTGGCATCTGGTGTCGATCCAGTACCAGTGTCGAGTGGGTTAGGTGGTGCATATATCTTGCGTAACGAAAATGGGGTTAACGTTGCTGTGGCAAAGCCTATTGATGAAGAGCCATTTGCGTGTAATAACCCAAAAGGTTTTGTAGGTAGGTTGGTGGGTCAACCTGGTATGAGGCGCTCGGTTCGGATTGGTGAAACTGGCATTCGTGAATTGGCAGCGTATCTGCTCGACTATGGTGGCTTTGCTGGTGTTCCTCCAACAGCTTTGGTGGAAATTTCTCATGTTGGATTCCATGTTAATAGTTCAGTCGGGATTTCAACTGCACCGTGCAAGATTGCATCACTCCAGAGTTTTGTAGAGCATGATTGTGACGCTGGAGAGCTCGGTCCCTCTAGTTTCTCAGTCGCTTCAGTTCATCGAGTAGGTATTCTTGATATAAGACTCTTAAACCTTGATAGGCATGCAGGCAATCTACTTGTGAAGAAGAAACAGAGGCACGACAATTGTAATGTCGGGGGAGTTGAACTCGTGCCGATTGACCATGGACTTTGCCTACCCGAGTGGCTCGATGATCCGTATTTTGAATGGCTTCACTGGCCTCAGGCTTCGGTTCCTTTCTCTGAGACTGAACTTGAGTACATTGCCAATCTTGATCCCTTCAAAGATGCAGAACTCTTAACAACCGAGCTTCCTGCTATAAGGGAGGCCTCCATTAGAATCCTCATTCTGTGCACCATTTTTCTGAAGAAAGCTGTAGCTTTCGGGCTTTGTCTTGCGGATATCGGTGAAATGATGACCCGGGGATTCGGCAGCGGAGAAGAAACCTTAAGTGCATTAGAGAATCTTTGTGCTCGAGCTATGGGTAACGTACCGATTATCATTTCAGGCGAGCACGAAACCAAACTAGAAAATGGAGACCCGGAAATGTTTCAATTCGAAGGCGAAAGCAAAGATGGTCACAGCAAAGAGGTTTTAGATCCCCAACTCCAAGAGACTCTTGAAATCCTCAAGCCTCCAAAAGTTCCAAAGTTCCCATGTCCTACAACTGGATCAAAGACTACTGCTAGATTATCCAGAACTGAAATTGATAAAAACCGATACAATGACGATAACAACGACATGTTTCTGAAAAGTAGTAACCACGGTAGTTTGATCAAGAGCAAGAGTTTCTCAGTGCAGAACCTTCAGAGCGAGAGCGGGGCTATCTTGTTTGGAGAAATGAGCAAGGAAGAATGGGAGCTGTTCTTGAATAGTTTCGAGAAGCTCTTACCTGAAGCACTCGAGAAGACGAGATGTGTTGGGGGCCCAAAGCTGCAGAGGATGGGAACTTCTTGCAAGTTCTGATTTCATTTCTTCTTTCAATATTTTTGGAGGAAATCAACTCAAATCCAAGCGAAAGTGAAACGAGATGAGAGTGGAATGCAGTTTGCCCATCTTTGTAACTAGAGAAGAAGGAACTGTACATTATATTATGGTAAAAGGAGACCTTTGTTATAGGATAGATGATGATGATGATTTGATGATAGGGGCAGAAACGGAAAAGCGAGTGGTGAATTAGGCAGCCATCCTTTCCTTTGTATAACTTTTTTAAAAAAAAAAAAGGTTTTTCTCATATATTTTTGTTTCCTTGCAACACAAATCAAATGCCTGTGGTGAAGATGATTTTGTTGCAGGTGATGATATGTCCTTAGAAAGTATTCTTCAGCTCTTCTTTCCCTCTTTTGTAATCCCATAATTCACTTTATTATAAATATATTATGTATGTATGTGCAAATTTTGTATCTACCTCTCTCTCTCTTCCTTTGTTTTTCTATTTCTGGTTCGAACATGGGCAGGAGAGTTGATTCTTTGGCCTTTTAAGGAGGTATGTAATGCTTTAATCAATTATGGTCGTGTCAAGTTCAAATAGGGGTCGGGAGAGTTGAATCTCTGACCCTTTAGGAGGTGTTTTAATTAACTATATTCATGTCGAGTTCAAACAGTGGTGGAAGAATCTAGGGAGGGTATGTCGAGTTCAAATGGGTGTGGGAGAGTTGAATCTCTGACCTTTAAGGAAGTAAGTAAAGCTAAATGAATTGTATTCATGTCGAGTTCAAACATGATTGGGAGAGTTGAATATCTAATTTTTAGAGAGATGAGTAATGTTGTAATTAGTTATGCTTAGGTAGAACTCTCTCTTAGATGTAGAGTTTATATGCTATTTTTTGTTTTTTAAAGATTTAGTGTAGGAATTCTAGAGTCGCAAGAACTCGAGAAATTTGTTGGATGGATACTTGTGATGGTTCTGTCAAAAAGTATCAAACCATCTTAAGCCCTATTTGTATTTTTTTGATTTTATAAAAGTGATTTGAACATTTGGATTTGGACTTTGGGGTGGGCATGCGTGCCTTTGAGAACAAGGAGGTGAAGGTCATTCTGTGAGTCATATTAACGTAAGTTTGATTTCAGAAATATTTTAGAATTATTTTTTAAAGATCGAGGACTAAATTGTCGGTTTTTGAAATTTATGAACCAAAAAGAAACCTATCTTCAAATTGAAGGACTAAAATTGTATTCTACTCTATTTTTCTTAAATCTAAAGTTAAACCATAAAGTTTTTATGAAATTGAATCTCCAGTTTATATGTCATGATATTAATTACCTTATATTTGGTGATTTCTTTATTTTTTTTTGTTGAAGATTTATAACTATTTGTTGGAGTTCACATTACTAACAATTTGTTATTTTGGGACATTTTGATTTAAGACGAGTTTAATAACAAATATTTTGTTGTTTGAAGTTTATGTAATTAACAGCTTATTTAAAATTGATGTTGAATTGAGTTTTTAAAAAGATATTTATTTAACCGCTTATTCAAAATTTGAATTAACAGAAAAAGGAAAAAAAAAAAGACGAAAACTAAAACTGTAATTTTGGAATCAAATAAATAATATTATTTGTTTGAATGATTGGGCGTAATAAAATAATAAAGTGAAAAAACACATGTGCGACACGTGGACACTTCCTTCTGCGCCAGAACAGTGCGGTCCACGTGAAATTTCAAGCTACAACTGAGGGCCTTTCCGTAATTTCACTCCGAAGATGCTTAAATAGTCTCCACTGAAGAAAAGAAGGAAAAAAAAAGAATGGGATCTTTTCGCCCTGACCTCAAAACTCCAAACAAAATGGCGGAGCCTCAAACTCGCGAAAATTTGGCCCAAAATCCACTCTCCCGCTCCCCCTTCGCCGCCGATCTGGACACCGGCGACCGTCTCCCGGCACCACCGGCCGTCACCGCCGATTCCGACGACGTAGGCGTCGGAGATCCCGATTTGATTCGAGAACCTAAACGCCGGAAGCACTGCCCGATGGCGCTCGAGAACCTCGACGAGTTGACGTCGGCGTCGAATTCGAGCTTCGGCTTCACCTTCGACACGAAATTCTGCGGGTTCGCGGCGGCCGAGGTCACTCCGAAATTCGGATCGTTCAACTCGATCGCGCCGGAAATCGAGAGGAAGAAGAAAGAACAGAGCTCGGTTCTGGATTCGGCGAGCGAAGTGAGAGGAGACGAAGAAGACAAAGGAGAAGCCGTACAGCAAGAAGAAGATGAAGAGGAAGAAGAAGAAATCGAAGCCGGCGACGCGTTGCGGGAAGCAATTGGAGAAGGAGGAGGAAATCTGGAATCAGTAGCGGATTGAAACAAATTCTTTGTAACGTTAAATCTCTCTCTCTCTCTGTCTCTCTCTCTCTCGATCGATTGATCGATCTGCGATGTGAAATTAATTAGTATTAATGGCGGCTCTGAAAATCATGGCGGGTTTGGGGATGATCATGATCTGGTTGGATCCTAGGGCAAAACAAAACAAATCAAATGAAAAGCTAGAACCGAATGGATTGAGTTGAAGTTGAAGGATAGAATGAAGGGAATTTTGTCAACCATGGAAATTGTAAATCGAAGTTGAATTCAATGTTTAGAAGAAGTTTGTTGGTTGTTGTTGTTTCTTTGATTGAATTGAATAATTAAATTGATGATGATTAAGAGTGAGAGAATGAATGAATGAATGAATTTGGAGAAAGGTGTTTGGTTGGAAAGAGTCAACCACCACTAGTTTCATACCACACGTGCATTCTTGCTTTTTTCTTTTTCCACTATGCATTATTTTATTTTTATCCTTAAACTCGGCCACTTTAAAAGGTTTATTTTATTTTAGTCTGTCGTAGAAATTATTTACAAAATTTTAATACAAATTTCATTTACGATATAAATGATGGCTGCATTTCAAAAAATTTTATGAGTGAAGTATATTGAAAGAAATAAGATAAAAGTGAAAATAAAAAAACCAAAATCGTCCAATTGAGCTTATTTTGATATATGTACTCTTATATTTTATTTATTTTAGTTTTAAAAAAATGACTAGTCATGTAGAGAGACCATTGAAAGTATAGGAACTAAAATGAACAAAAATAGATAGTCTTTTTTTTTTCAATATTTTCTATTTTGGTTCTTCTAAACCTTTTTTCAACTCTCAACTTTTAAATCTTTTATGAACTTCCTCAATGAACTTATTTGGTTTCTTTTCCCTATTTCAATCCTTTCATTTTTCAAAACTAACCTTTTTGCTTTTTTTNTAAAAATATCTAATTTAGTTTCCAAACCATTTATAAATGATTCTTTTTTTTTTTATATTTTTACTCTTATTTTAATATCTATTTTTCTAGGGTTCAATTCTGGTCTCAAGTTAACTTATTTGTTTCATGCCTATGTTTTTCAAAAATCGTGTTATCTATTTACTTAAAAAATTAACAGTAAAACAATAACGAAAACAAAAATAGTTTTTTTTTTAATTTTAGATTAAAATAGACCTTTTAAATTTTATAACTAAAATACAATGACTAAGATGGATTTTTTAGAAGTTAGAGATTAAAGTATAATAAATTTGAAAGTTCACTTATCAAATACAATTTAAACTTATAATTAATTAGTTTGAGCATTGTAATTTTACATTGATTATTTAAATTCATATACATTTCAAAACTCGATAGACTTATTACACATGATTTTAAACATCTCTAAGTAGATCTTATCAAATAAATGATAAAAAGAAGAGGTACATTACATTAAATGATCAAAAGAAAATTAAAAGAAAGGACTACCATCATCATCATCATTATTATTATTATTATTATTATTTTGTGGGTAAAAGTTTAATGATTAAGATATATAATATTCGAAAGTTTAATCAAAGGAAGGAAATAAATTTTAAACCTTTATTTTATTATGTCAATAATTTTTTATTACTTTTTTTTTGGGTTGAAAAATGGGTGATGAAATTAAGATTAGTTCAACCATATATGAGACTTGTCCTACTATTTAGGTATAGAAACTTGGTGGGGTGTGGTTGGAGATGTAATTTCTAGGGTTATTTGACCTTTTTAAAAATAAAAATTAAGTAAAAATGTGTTTTCCTTTATACTAGTTTTCAAAAGTTTATTTTTAATTTATGTTGTGAAAATATCAAATTTTTATCCACAAACTTGGTGAGATGTACCAACTTTTAGTCTAAAATTTCAATTTCATTAGATTATACCTTAAACTCGAAAAAGTGTTAGCAACCTTCATCTTACACTGAATTTCTTTTTTTTTTTTCAATGTTTACCTAACACTTGAACGAATGTTGCAATTTTGACCTTTGGATAGGTTTTCATTGGAAGAATATAGTTAAAAAAGTTATTATCAGATATGTACAATCAATTATTACAAAACATGTGTGTTTGATATGAAATTGATGAGATTTAAAAAAAAAAAAAGACGACACTGGAGTTGGTTTTGTTTTAAATTTGTGAGTTTTGATAGAGTTATTTAATAGACTGTCTTATGCATGGTAAATTTAAATTTATGTAAAGCTTGATTTTTATTAAAATTAGTGAGTTTTTGAAGATTTTTATCTAATTACAGGTCACAATTGGTTGAAGTTCAAAATTGAGGTATTAGTAATTCTTTTGCGTTTCACTCACCAAATATTGTAGGATAAGGGATATGTCGATTAGTAGAGGTATACGTAAGCGTCCGAACAAAGGATATAAAAAAATAAAAAAGTTCAAAATTGAGGTATACCTTGCCAAATTTAGAAATAAAAATATACCTTTTTTTTTGGCTCTCTCTCTTTTTCTTTTAGAATAAAGGAGCAATTATTCTTTCTAAAACTACGTAACAAGAACATTAACCTATATAAGCTATTTAAAAATATATTTTGGTTAAATGTCATTGCACTCTTAAAATATATACTATTTTTCAATGGCATCCTCAATATTTCAAAATTTTTAATTAATTTGCTGTTTATATTTTTAAAAAATTTATACTAAATCCATACCCATACACATATCCACTTGTGTCAGATAGTGATATGATATATATTTTTTAAAAAATGATTTCTAATGTAAATTTCTATGTCACATTTTTCCCATTTAAAAACTCAATAAACTTTACTCAAATTTAAAATTCATCAAGTGGGAAATTATTATAAGACGTTTTGTCCACTATACTTGAGAACATAAGTCAATAAAATTGAATTATACTCTACTAAATATAATTCGAAATTTTATGGGTAATGATGGGAATGTATTTTTTTTTTCCAAATGTGAAATTAAATTAAAGTCAGTAATTTTGTTGCATTTATATGGTTATGGTTATAGGTATTGGGTTTTCTTCATCTTACATCAATCTTCATGGGAAGAAAAAAAATCATCTTTTAATTATATTGAGGATATATTTATATCTATCTGTACTAACATCAAATAATAT